ATAACGTGCAATTCTTTACTTTTGGAGTTGGAGTAGAAGGAGTAAACAGCTCCCCTGAGGAATTCGTCTGGCAGACGTGAATGGTCAGCATTTCTTGGCACTCTGCTCCTTTCTGAAATTCAGGTTCAGCTCCCGGAATTCATTTAATTCATGGGCAGGGTCAGGACATGGGGTGCAAAACACAGGTATTTCAGCCAGTGGCATTGCTTTGAGGCACGGTGTATTCATCTGTCCTCTGGTTTTGTTCATGCTACGCACAGGTACATTCACTCACTCTCTCCCGTATTTCCCCACCTTATTTTTGTCTCTCCTTTTGCTTTGGTGAGACTTCTCCCCTGCCACATCTTTGCCCCCATCCCCGTCACTCACCTTCTGCTTCCCGAGGGCTCCAGTGCCCTGAAGGATCGCAGGGCATCGGGGAAGAGGCGCTGAAGGCGTATTGCACCAGGACTCTTCCTTCCGCACACAGATCACATGCTGATCCCACTTCTCTAGGAAGCCAGGAAAACAGGAAAACACACCAACTTAGTAACAGCTGAATGAGCTGCTTATTCAACTATATTAAAAGCAATAAGACTTAGAATTCCGTTCCACTTAACCCTCTTTTCTCACAGCACTGACAAGAGTGTTTTCTGACGCTGTCCTTCTGCAGGTTTGGGCTAATGGCCTGCGCAGACGACATCCGTGAGCCCGCCACCCAACACAAAATGACAGACACCTCTGAACTCACGCTCAGCTATGCCCCCCCTGCCCCCGCACTACACCTGGGTGAAACAAAAGAAAATACATGTTTCTTGGTAGTTAGAGCAGAGAAACCAGACTCTGGAGATTTCAGATCTATTTCTGCTCCCACCATAGATTTATTGCTTGGACTTGTAATATCTTCAAGACTGTGAAGGCCTTGGGCTTGCTGGTTATTAGGAGAAGGTAAAGTCCCAGGCTCTAAGAACATCAGACAGAGCTGCTCTGCGAAGCACAGCTTTGCTAAGGATGCATGGTGTTTTTGGGGGTGTATCATCACCAGATCATCACAAGCCTGGAAAAGGGGTGGGTTATGACCGTACAGAAAAGAACATGCCCTGAATCCTTTTGCAGGGGAAACTGGATTTGGTACCAGGCAGCTCTGGCACCAGCGGATGGCACGTTCTGAACTGGAACATCTTACGGGCTCCATGCCATCGGATGGCATGACATGGCATCAACAAAGGCACTTCTCTGCCCAACGCCAACATGACTTCACCTACACAGTCCGTCTAATACCAGCGACTGTCCACGAAGGACTGTGAGCAGGAGCAGTTGAAGAGGAAAACCCAGTTAAACACTGATTCACAAATATTTTTGTTAATACATTCACAAGATCAGAGTTTAAGCTGATGTAGACTGGTCTAACTCTACCATCTTCCATAACATTAGGCCGATTCATATCAGCTGAGAATGAAACTCACACAGTTCATACCGACATTCCTTGGGGTCACAGTATTTGGAACCCTGTATGACCCAGAATTTGTAGTTATTCATCCCAGTAAGTTTCTTATTATTCAGAATTCATTGTTGTGCTTTAAGGAACACTGCCCACTCAAAATTAATGGAAGAAATTAATGATCTTAATGATTAAATGCACCTAGGAAAGGACAGAAGTTTTAGGCAAACAATTTGCTCACAGCACACAGTGCACTCTCTAAAGTACCCAAGTATGTAAGGATTGAGTCATCAATTATTACAATCAGCCATGCAAATTTTAACCACCTTCCGTTGCACCACTTATTTCAGCACTGCTTTGCGAAGGGCACTGTGATCCTCAGGCAGAAGTTATTTTGGATCCTCAGCAAGGACACTGGGACTGTAAGGTTACTCTCCCAGTCCTCCCAGGCTGTGCGCTCTCTTTTCCCTTTGGCGTTAGGGACAGTACACGCTCAGCTGCTCCACAGCTTAGCATCTCCTGTTTTTGACAGGGATCTATTTGAAAGTCAACTTTCTGTTGGCTTAATTAGGCAGATGCAGAGATTGTCAAGAGGGGGCTTGGACTGGAATCAGTGGTAAAACTCGTGTCCATTTGAATATGGCCCGCAGCCACCCCTACACAAGGAGACGGTGAAGGATTGAACTCGCAGACAGCGCAGAAAGGGATGCACCTGCTGGAAACATCTGAAGAATGAATTGTGGCACTGGGGTAGAATAGAGAAGAGGGAGGAGAAGGTGTCCTCTTCCCTGCACAATCTGTAATGCTGGTAATGATCAAATCTGGGCATGTTGCAAATAACTTCTCTCTCTGTCTCACTTCACCCGCCTGCATTATTGGCATGACACTGCCTCCTATTCCATTCCTCAGCTGTCTTTTTAGCAGTGGTTTCAGTGTCTAACTCAGCTTGCCTAAATAATATATGCCAAAAAAAAAATCAAGAATAAAAGGTACTGAGAAATCAAACCATAGAATTATTATTGTGCAGTTGTTTTTCAGACAGATCCACCAACAGGCAGGACAGAAGTCCCTGCAATAATAATCTTTCAGTTTCTCTACAAAGAGACTCCTGCATTAGCGCTTGGTCCTGGATGAGGACAGAGCTTTGAAAGCCAACTTTCCACAATTAGGACTGCTTTTTACTCAAATTAGCAGCTATACAATTTCATCACAGGCTGCCATGGTGGAAAAAACTGTAGGCTTATGGACAAACATTTCCTTTTACCAGCAAGGACTTGGAGGTAAGAGAAATCACAAGGAGCATCATGTGGGAAAGGCTATGAGCAAACTTTCTCTTTTTACTTTTCCAATTTGGGAGCCAAACTCAACCCTGATGTAACTCCACTGCCTGAAAGGAGTTACACAGGGGATGACTCCTGGGTTAAAGATTTTGGTCTGCAGACTCTTGCCCTGAAATTCTACAAACAGCCATGAATGTCAAAACTAATTATGGAATTGCATTTACAGGCTTATGAAAATCTAAGCCAGATCCTTACACCTTCTGCAGCCACTGACATCAAGACAAAAAGAGGGTAAAAACACTATTAATTAGGAACGATAGCATATCTGACACCTTATACACTTGTGCACATGACTCCCCAAAGTGCAGGGTAATGGAAAATCTAGACTCCTCTGTTTTCTAATAAGCCAAGTACTGGGGAAATTCCAGCTTATGAAGCTCAGAGCACAGGAGGAATTCATTCCTACAGCATGATATTTCAGTGAAGTGGATTCAAAATCGTAACATTACTAGTGAAAAACAGACAATTCTCTTCAGGGCCAGCACCAGCAGACAACCCAAAACCAGTAAAAATCTATCATTCCTTTCAGTAAAGAGTGCCTGTTTTCAGACTAAATTGTATCTGCTTACTTGAAATTCAGAACTGGTGCTCTCCCCTCCAAAACACCGCAACTTTCGAGCGAGGTTTAAGCAAGCAATTATCAAGCCCAGCCATCTAGATCTGGGACACCATACTGACCAAAATATTTGCCTGCTAAGAATGAGATAGCATCAGATTCATGGAAATTAATGCAGTCACCTCAATGAAAACTTGGAAGAGCAGATGCATTCAAAGTTTTCTGTCCAAGCAGAATTTGCTGCAGAGCCCTATTACAATAACTGTTTACATCCTGCCTATGCATATCAAGCAGGAGGCGCATGAATGGATGCTTAGCGACGGCAGATGAACACATCTAATAGATGCAGTCAGGAAATGAATAGAGTTTTCTTTTTCTCACTTGTTTTCACTTGTTTTGTTGGTTCCATTATTATTTTATTATTACATGTACATGCGACATTTATTGTGTCTTTTTTTAATGGGAAGACGGAGAACGGTAAGTTGTGTAGTAGCTACAAGAAGAAATGCTGGTTGTCGCTATATTTGATTATTAGGGATGTTTAGAAGCTCAACCATCTGCTGATGTTTAGGGCCAAACACACATTGGCAAATTTATATGCAGGTAAATGACTAGAGTAATATAGCTGGCATCAGCTGAACAGACTGAGCAGGTAAGGAGGGTCTGTCAGAAGATTTTACTTCTGTAAACAGCTCCTGTAGCTACTCTTGTCAAGGTGTGAGGACACAGGATAGCCAACCCCAGCTTTACAGGAATTATGAGCTAGCATTACCCTCTGCCCCCAAATCCACATCATTAATCATGTAATTCCTAGAGCTGAGGCCCTAAGAGAAAACAGCTAATACTGTGGCACCTGTGACAAAGTTCCATCTAAGCAGGGAAAAGGCCTTCACTTCTACATTTCATCCCCCTTCCGCCGCAGACCCGTCAGAACCTCACCCACAGCTACAGACAGCCCAGTGTTACATTTTTAAAGATAGGGCTAATTTTCCCTTCCTGACTTCCATTAAGCCGAGGTCACTGCCCATGCACAGCTCTAAAGAATAAAAGACACATGAAAGGAACTTGAGTCACCCTGAGTGCGCTTACAGTACCATTGTAATTTGGATCAGGAGCGAGTTTTTGAAGTGAAACTCTTCACCTTCCGCACGTACAGCGCTTGGAGCGGTCTTGGAGCACGGAAGCTGGACCCATTTTTGCCTGAAACCAGAGTGGAGATGTGCTCCAGGACCACACCTGACGTGCTCCAACTGCTGATCCCATGGGGCCAGGCTAGAGCTAGGCTGAAATGACCCCCCCCAGAACCCCTGCAGTGTTGACGTCAGGTCTTCATTAACAACTGTTTTACGCTAGAGATCTACTTATATTGGGCCACAATACTTGCTAATGTAGCCAGAGCCATTCATCCTTTTAAGGCCCTTTTACACTGTCAAAACAGCACGGAAGGGGCCTCTGTGCATTAGAAGCCAGGCCCAAGGCACTCAGCAGTTGAGTATCAGTCTTCTGTTTTTTACATGAATAGTCCCATTGAAGTGAATGAGTTTATTCATTCAAGTGAGGCAAGTAAAATTTGGGCCATGGTGTGTGCTTTGTGTAAAAATATCTGCAAAGATTTACAGTATTCCCACACACAGATAAGATTATACTTGGCCAATTTTACCTCCTACTTGTCTTGCACAGTGACCCAATTTTACAAATTGATGCAGGCATGTATCTCAGACCGAGCGGTGCTGGACACGTCACTCCTGGAAGTTCAGCACGTGAGCTTCTCCAGTATTAGTCACTACAATACTACTGTCATCCTTGTTTTGATTAATACATCAGAAATTTGGGCATGCTTTAGCCAGGATCATTTATATATTTCAGTGACATTTTTAAATGGTCACAGCAACATTTCTGTTTCTGTCAGTGTTGGGAAACTCATTTTAACAAAGAATTGGACTCAATGTATTTGAGGCTGTCTCCTTAAATCTCTCCAGTAATACTGAGCACATAGATTGGAAAACCCAAAGGACTTTTTTTTTTTCCTGGAAAATCACTATTTATTTAACATATGATAACTTTGTTATGAAATTTTAGATGTAGCAGGCTATCCACTGTATGTTATTTAAGAAGCAACTAACTAGGGGTTATTAAGAACATATTGATTGAGTTATAAGAAATATGTAATAAAGACATATTTGGTTACATAACAATTAACTCTGCATCAATGTGTTTTAAGATGCAGATGGAATTTATTTAACACATAATAAGTATCTTCTGAAATCTAAATTAAATTGGAGAAACTTAATTTGCCTAAAAATTATTACGGGCTAAAAAATTCTGAATTAATTTGCAGAACTTCACATAAGTCCTTTTCACATGTCGGGAATAAAAGGATTCGGTTGCAAAACTGCAATTAAAGCAAACCCTGTTCAGAGCACAAGACCTCTCTTTATCAACTCCTAATACGATCTGATTGCCTTTCCCATATTAACCTGCACTAAAGGTGGAAAATCTCTGAGCAGAAGATAGCAGCTACCTGCCTACTCCAATAAAGCGCGAGCTGGCCACCGAAACGGCCGCGTGTCCTCGCAGTGCGGGGAGTTTCATCCCTGAGGGAGGCAGTGGCTGTCAAGGTGCTCTCACTGAACACAGCAGCAGTGCTGAGACAGCTCTTTGGGTGCTAATATGCTTGTAAATTTGGCCTCCTGGGATACGTGCTGCAACAGTCCTGAAGGACGCTCCAAGTTTGTTCTCCATAAAATAACAAAGCAAGAACTGGAGAAGAAATGTAAACAGGGAAGGTCAGTTAACGGTAATGCGAGAAGGTCGATCGTTTAGGAAGTTCTCTGCTAGGACTCCCACAGCTCCTGCAGCCCGGCCGAGTGCTGTGTAAGAGTACTTAGATGAAGTACCCAGTTGCTCAGGTCACCCCGGGGTACGAGTTGTTCCGGCTCTGAACCACAACGTGGTGCAACTCTTGTCCAGCGCCCTGCACTCATTCGATTTTCACTGGTACCAGGTAGCTGCATGTCTATCAGACACACGCACCCTGACCTACACGCTCCACTGAGGGTGCAGCAAGATGACACTTACTCAGGGTTTCAGGTCTTTGACTCTGCCTTGCTCAGCTCCCACCTCACACCTGCAGCTCAGGGAAGGAGGCAGCATGCTTCCCTCTCCCCAGCCCTGTCACCTCCGTGCCCTGTGGGACTCCTCTGCCCACGAGCTCTGTGCGATCACGGGAGCAGAGACAAGATTCACCTCATCCGTGCAAAACAAACATGCAAGAGGAGTAGGGGGTATGTGCAGGCAGAGATGAAACCCACAGGTATTTGTGGGGAGTGATAACAACAGGAATCACAGGGCCAGAATCGTCCATTGAAAATTCCTCCCATAACATATGGAAAAAGATTTGCCCTTTACATGGCAAATCAATGGCCCTCAGCCGAGTGCTACAGGCTGAGAAAAGAAGAGCAGAAAACAGATCAATAACCTCCTCACTATGAACCAATTTAGGAAAGAGCCTTAACCCAGACTGAGCGCAGCACACGATAAAGCTGCGCCGCTGGAGTGGGGCCCTGGGTTGTGCCCATTTCTCCCCCCTCCATCCAACTCGGGGCAAGAGTACAGAGCAGTGCGAGATCACCTTTCAAAGAAGTGGCCATCGATGGGCGGAAACCATTCCAGGGTGACTGAGGTGGAGGTCCGAGCGACAATCTGGGGGGCAATTGCGATAGGAGCTGGCTTCTTCACGGGCTGCCAGCTCTGATAGACGAGGTCCAGGTAGCAGTGCATCCTGGCCACTTGGTTGGGCGTGAAGGAGTCGGTGCAGTCATCGTCTGAAATCAAAACAGAAGCCACATGAACCACGCGGGAGATAAGGCGGGAGCGAGAGAGTGAATTACAACCTGGGGAACGGCAGCTTCCTGCAAGGGCCCGGATGGATTCTCGCAGCACTCAGAAGGTAACGAATGGCCTGTGAACAAATTAGTGCAGTCATCACTTGGGAAGGGAGGTGAAAGGAAACAAAAGGTAAAAAGATAACAAAAATACATCAATAAACGTTCTCTCCCTCTGGGCTGGGATACCTATGGAGCACGCAGAGATCATCCCAAGACGAGGCAGAGACACGTGAAGGTGAGGAAACAGAAAGCCTCAGTGCAGCACCTTCTGGTCAGAATTGGGGCTACCAGTGGACCTCTGGGCTTAAAAGAATTTCATGTCTAAAAGAATGTCCCTGAGAGAGGATAAAAGGGCAAAGGACAGCTAGTGTTAGGATAAAGAGATTCATGCAAATTGTGTGCACAGACTTTGACAGCTTTCTTAGCTTAAAAGCACACAGAATTTTAAAATACATAGTTTTTTTTAAGTTCTTAAATTTTCTAATGAAGAAATAAAATATGTTCTGAAAGATCAATTTTTCAAAAATTACACACTGATTAAAAATGTAAAATTTTGGTGCAGTAAAATACCTTTATTTCTATTAAAACCTCCCCATTACCATTACGATTCTTACCCCTTTCTGAACTCCTCATAAACATTTTTGGTCTTTCAAATTTCTTCTTCATTCAAAATGAAGAAATCATTTTGCTGGATAATTTCCCATAAATATCCATTTCTCATTTCATCTGTTTTCCCCAAACATGATTTGGCAAGAAGAACACATCTAGTGCCCTCTGAACACCACACAACTTCACAACTACAATGCCCCGGAGAAGGAGAAAATTACTATTTCTCTGTCTTGCGGATCACAGAAGGAATAAATACGTTGTGCAAAGTCACCCAGGAAAGCTATGCTGAACAACTTCTTGCTAGCACTTGAACCATTTTTCTGGTTCTCTTGCCATCAGATGGAAAGCTCTTGAAATCACAGAGCGTTTCCCATGTGCCTGCCGAGCTCCCAGCCCAGTAACGCTCAGTCCCAGATGGGACCTCTGCATGCTGCCGTGATACAAACAACGACGACAGCTTTGCACAGGCCAAGGAATACACTTTTCTGGGAAGATGCAGGTCGCTGGAGGCTCTTCAGGGACTTGCTTGTGTACATGTAAGTTGGCAGCTGAATATTGTAATAGCCTCACTAGATGCTCCGACGTCTTCAAGTCTGTGCCCTGTGGAACTCAAGAGGAACCAAAAAATATGAATTTGTTCTAACGGGAAGTGTGAATTTGCTGGCTAATTTAAAACCTTTCTGCATCTTCCCAGAGATGCAAGCGAAAGGCGGCAGCTTCAGTTGGGATCCTGCTCAAACTGCAGCCCCAAACACAGTCCTACCACAGTAAGGACATGTCAGTTCACATGTTCTCCTCTGTCTCTCCTAATTCCACTGGGCAGTGAACCATTCCTCATCAAACATGCACAGCAGACAGACGGAAACCACCAGCTTGAAACTATCTACAAATCCCTGTGGGTATGCAAAAAGCTGCTTTCATATGACATCTCTGGATTTCCTCAATAATTGTCGATGGTCTATCCCTGAGCATGCTATAAAAGCCATAAATATTCCTCACGGAAGCCCAGAAGGAGACAAAGACCCTTAATAGCCATCATAAAGGAACAATAAAATACATATAGGACAAAGCAGTGAGACAATGGCACAGGAGAAAGATGACCTGCATTCTCAGTCCGTTTAAACATCAGCACAGGCTGTGTCCCCGGGGTGGGGAAGGGAAGAGAGGTGAGGGAGAAAGGTATTTCACTTGATCGCTTGGTTTCAAGAAAGGTTCAAGATCCTCAGATAAAGTAATAACTAGAGAAATTCAAGAGATTTAGCCAGATGGTTATTCCAACAGAATACAGAAGCACAATTCCTGCTATCTAAAAGACTAACTTATCTTTTCATTCAGGAACACCACAGCTATTTGGCCTTGTAAAATAATCTACAAGTCCAATTTCTCATACCTTTCAATCTTCTGGACATTGTAACTTAAGGTTTCAGGGAAAGAAAAGTTACCCTTTAAGTCAGTGCTGTCCGACAGAGCTGGGGGTAACTGGGCAGACGGATGTTAGAGACAGACAAACACAATATGATGAAGCTGTATACAAACAGCAAAACAGAAGGGAAAGAAAGGCAACGTTTAGAGCTGCATGACCTCAACCTAGATGTTTCAAAGGTATTTCTCCAGCAATTTGATATCCTGATATGTTTTTATTCCACTGGCAAGAACAGAAAAGCAAACAGATTCATGCATGAGCTCTAGAGATGCCTATCACATCGTTTCACTTAATTTTTCAAGAAAAAAAAAAGGTTTCTGCTCAGAATACCAGCACATATTGAGCTCCCTGTAGCAGATATGTATCTCTGTGGTCTGCCTCGTTGTCTCATCTCTCGAGAGAATTGGCAAGGCAAGTTCTCTGTGGAAGACTCAGCATTTTGAAACACGTCTGCACTACCTCTTGTCACACACACAGAAGCAGATTTGGTGGAGGAATATTGTCCTCTGAAGTGGCACTGGCTTATTTGTGTGATGTTACCAGGAGGCTGTATCAGGCAATAATGATTTCTGCCCTTCCGCATGCACAAAAGCGCACAGCACGTTGAGGAGCTGACTCCGTGTGTGTACACTTGTCCCTGAAAACCCCCTCTAAACAAATAGAAAAATAAAGAGAAAACTAAGCATCACTTCAAACCCCAAAGGGCATAAAAGCATTTCTGTTATAAATCATTCCAATCTGTGCCCCAGATGACATTAAACACTTTGCTTCTCTACAGTTTTATTACGGAATAAGCAGCCCTGCGACCTTTTGAGTGGGCAACGTGTGTTTTTGCCTGGAGTATAAAGGTGCCCTTCAGTAGCTGGAAGTATATTGGTCACCTTTAAAATGTTATTGATGCTGTCAGCTCGGTGTCACAGACCTTCACCACAGCTACACCCTGTGACCCAAAATAAGGAGAAACACGAGCCAAGGTACCCCCTGTTCTTTCTGGGAAATAACAGGGGATCCTTCAACTCCCCTTGAACTTCCAGGGGTGCAGCAAGGACCACACCTCACACTCAGCTGATGGGCAAGGATCACAGGAGCTCGTGCCCTCTTTTTCTTATGCTCTGTTGGTAGGAGTGCCACGACCTGGCTTTCCTGAGCAAGACAGCTATGCCTACAGCAGCCCAGAGCTGTAACTACAGCATCAGGCTTCTGCTTAAGCAGCTTATTCCTCTTGGAGGGAAGGTTTTACCACACTGATATGGAGCTTTTGTAGTTGCACTCCCAGCACACAGGTAATCTTTGACAGGAAGAGCAATCCTGATCCAGGTGCTGTCCTGGTATTCACACTCTGATGACGAAACTCAGATGTGAGAGATTGTAGATGAATGACAGGGACTCCAAATCAAACACCAAACATGGTATTTGAACAGGCGTACGGAGGCGTGAGCTGTGTTTTATTAGATGCCTACCTATCACAGGTTCATTACACAGCATTGGTGGTATCAGTGTTCATCTGACATTCAGTATGTCCTTGAGGGAGGGTAAACAATCTCTGAATTTTTCAAAGAAGACCTCATAGATCAGACATCTAGATCCCATGAAAATAGGGTGTCAAATTTACTGCAGAGCCTTTGGAAGCTGTTTTCTTAATGCTTATCTCATTTCTTCCCTCTCCCAAACCTTCTGCCTGGTCATCACATGAAACTACTTAAAGCTGGGGAGAACTGGGAAAAAAGAACAGGGGAGCTGGAAGGGATTCCTGAGGCCATCAAGTTCCTCATGAAATCCAGTTCTAGACCAATGGACACTCCTGTCAGCATAAAGCCCGACATGAAATGGGCTGTCGAAACCAGAGGTAATACTGCTGCTCTTTGCTCCCACCCAGCCACCGACAGCAGCAGCAACCCAAGGAAGCCCAAGTACCTGCGTAGCTCATGAAGTTACTGAACGGCGTGTTTACGAAACTGTGAAAACCACATGTGTCGTTGCCAGGTCCAGGATCCCCACACAGCTTGTGCTTAGGAGCAGGGTTGGTGTCACTGCAGAGGTCCCCGGTCTCGAAGGAGGGCTCAGTTTCCATGCACGGATCGCTGCAGGAGAGGATCTCGGAGATTCCCCGGAAGACGTGATAGAGCCCCAGGCTGTGCCCAATTTCATGGATCATTGTGTGTGTATGGCCAGGGATTCCATAGAAGGAAGGATTCAGCACAATGCCACCTGCAAGGGGAAAAGAGCAGAGCTTCGTTTGCTTTGTCTGTCACGAAACAGCAAGGGAAAGGAAGATAATCCTAAGGGCAAATCCACTAGCAGTTCATCGGAACCTCTACAGCACAGACAGCTTTTTGCACCACCACACACACGGCCTGCTCAGAGAAACTGCACAGCAAAGTTTGATCGCAGTCTTAACCTAGGGCTCTAAGGGTGAGGAATCACGGGACAACGTGTCCTAAACCAAACACGGTGACAATTGGTCTCTCTGCTGAATATGGTCAGTCTAGTTGGCTTGTTAACTCAAAGAAAGATCCGACACGCAAGTACCTCATACTGCGTAATTTCAAACCATTTAGTGTGCTGAAATGGCATGGTTCTGCCCAGGTAAGTGTAAGTGATGCATGTGATACCAGAATTTGATACCATTTCAAACAACACATACCCAGAGCACTCCGCGCATTATTCCATGGAGGGAAGACATAGTATTAGCCCATTAACTTCTGAAACACCCTAAAAATCACAGTAGGCCGCAACAATATTTGCAAGCTAATAGCTGAAGAAAAAAACCAGAATACACCCAGGGCTGGAACAGTTTTTGCGGGGTGTGCTCTGACCATATAGACAGCTTTGAAGTAACTGTGGGAAACACGATCGTCCATGCACTCACACAAGCCTAGTTTGACCTGAACTGCACAGTCCAGTCATGAATATGCATAAGGCTAATGTGTCAAAAAACATGAAATCCTGGAATGTGATAATCCTAAAAGAACTGCGTGCTTGTTAAAAGTGTGCAAAGAAAACCAATGGTGATTTTTTTGTTGTATGAATTATGGGATGTGTAGATAAGGAAATAGTAAATTAGTGAGGCTTTACAGTACATTGAATTAATCATGAGAATAACATTTTTAGCTCAGCTAGATGTACCTTTGGATTTATGATATACTTCATATTTTCTTTATTTAGCTTATTGACCTCAACTTTTCCAAGGTTTTTATTTAAAACTGTTTGTGTATATTGCCAACCATGAGAACAGGAGTCTGCTTTGTAAAAGTTAGAGTGGAAAAATAAATCTTGGATATGGTACACTAATAATTTAGTGACAATGAGGAGAGAAATGGTTTTGGCAGAAGGAACTTTATCAGTGACTGCAGCACAGGAAAGATGAGATCACTGCGTTCTGACGCACCATAGAGTCCTCCTTCTCATCTGCCTGGAGACTTGGTTGCAATAACCATGGAATTAGGAGCAAATAAGACCAAGAAGGTCTTAAGAAGTCATCTAAATTCCAGTCTCAAACACACAGGAGCAATTAGGTCTATACATCCCTCACACATATTGGCCTAATGTCTCTTTACAACCTCTGATGACATTAGTGCCCCAGCAATCAATTTCAGCACTCAGTATCCTTATGGCTGCAAGGATTTAACTCACATCTAATCTGAATTGATTTTTTGGCAATTTAAGTTCATGACTTCAGGTCCTGCCTCACACGGATACGAAGAACAGAAGATTCTCCTCCCCTTTCATCAACTTTTATGAGATTGTCATCATCCTCACTTCAGGCTCTTTTCCTTCCGTCTGAATAACTGTAATACATTCAACCTTTTCTGCAGCTCAATCCTTTTTCTAGACCTCCCTGACTGTTGGTCTTTGGTTTTCCCAGTTGTCTCACGTTTTCCTTCAAGTAGAGTGTCCACACGTGTAGAGTGTTCCAGCTGAAATTTTATCAGTGCTGAAGAGAGAGGAAGCACCACTTTGGATGTGTGGCAAGGACACATGCATACACAGAAATAGAGAACAGGCTTCCCCTTTGTGCATGGGCACATGCGACTCCACGCGCGCAGTGGAGAGAAGTCACGTGGGCGTGTACAAATACACATACAGTATTAAAAAAAATGAACTGAAAATTTGAACATAGGCATAAAAGAGTGAATAAAATCAATCACATTGAGCATCATGCCTATTATGCCACATGCGGCATCTGCACATCCTTTACACAGCACTGAACCGGTCCTTATGCTAGTTCTGCGCATCCCAATTAATTGTATGTTGACCTATCAGTACGCAGCCACTGCAATCCCCACGTCCCTCGTATCCCTCTCTCCCCCTTCATGCAGTACATGCTTTGATGCCTCCAGTGCTTGGGCTCTACCCAGGTCGAGCCATTTACACCCAGGCAGTACCCTCATACACTGTTTTGTGGGGGTCTCTTTCCCAAACACAACTCCAGAGTTTGTTTTCCAATTGCAGGAGCATTGGTGAAATTCCCCATCAGGATGTGGGTAAATGGTTCTGGCATTGGACAGCCCTGAGGCAGCTGGGGAGGGAGATTTTATTTTTGCCTTTGTTGAAAATTTCTATTTTTCACAGCTGTCAAGAATCTAAATCAATTGCAGTTTTACAGAAAAGATAAACTCCCTCACCCAGACAATCTCTATCCCAGCCTTTAGATCTGCACCACAGGACATATTTCATATTTTTTATTAAGTACATATTGGATTTATAGAAGAGAGTAAAAAAGATTAAAGATGAATTCTTACAGACCAAGCACAGGGCTGGGAGGGCTATTATGACAGGAAATTATGACCATTATTTATTTATTTTTACTTTTTTTCCACTGCAAATCAACTTTAAACTGTTGTCTAATGTCTTTTTTTCTTGTGAGATCCTTTTTTGGTCAATGAATTCTGTCAATACACTGTAGGAGCTGAATTTAAATTGTTTTGCTCAGGCATGATGTTGACAATTAGCTTAACGAAGTGACAGAAGAACTCATCAGGGCTTTGGGCAAGCCCCAGCCCTCTTGCAGAAGGTTCTCCTTGGCGCTCTGGAGCTCTCCCCTTGTTCTCTGATCCCTCCCATGGCAACACCAAGGGAAGCTGTGAAAATACTCATTTAAGGCAGGATCAGCTATATTGCAGCCTTATTTCCCTCCAGCGGTGGCATTAGGGCTAATGTTTCCCACCAGCGACCAACACTGTTGCCCGAACAGAGTTACAGTGGGGCTGGTGCAGGAGTGGGGGTTGTGGCATTACAAAGTGATAGAAGTCAGAGCAGCTTGGGTGCTGGCTGAGGTTAATAGCTTAGTTTTTGTCAGAAGATGTTGCCATGGGGAACGTTCACTGGCAGGCGTTCACAGCATCTTCTGTTTGGGTGCTCCCAGCAGGAGCCCATAGAGCTGGGGCTGGAGGCATGTCAGAGTGGAAGTGGCTTCACTTCCAGCCCAACTTGGCAGGAGACTGGATGTGTGCCAGTGCTGGTCCTTGGGAAGGGAAGTTTGCTCAGAGCAGCTGCAGAGCTGTCTGTCGCAATACAACATTTACTAACTGATGTAGGGCAGCCAGATCCAACTCCTTGGTCTGACCATGGAGCTTCTCTCAGCTATGGAAACTGGTAACTCTAAAGAAATGCTAACTTCTAGGTTTTGAGGTATTTCTGAACTTAGGAAAACCTGCCTACCCGATGGCTTGGGCTGTAGTTCGGCACTTACAGTATGCTTTAGGATAAACACCGTACTTGCTTGCCTTGCTTGTCTAGGTTTTATGTTTGCCACATCTTTTTTGTTTTGCTCAGCGTGGGGTTGTGTAATATAAAAACTGCCTGAAACAGCCTTTCACAGAGACAGAACTTGGCGGAAACTGGACTTCACTTCCAGCCTGTGAAGATCTGGACAGTCTGGAGAAATACCTGGAAAACTCATGAGAATCCCTGCTCTTTTGAGATGACCAGATCAGGTTTGCAGCCCTGGGGAGGTTGGAGCAGTTAAGAGAAGCACATACACAGTCAGTATCTTCCAAATCTTTTGAGGTTCATCTGACATTTTGCAAGGAACACAGGTCCAGGGGCACTGCAGGTGTCAGGGCAATGAGTCATTTGGATGTCTGGGTTCCAGCAGCCACAGTCAGTGACCCAGTTAGGAAACATGCAGGGCTTTCTGCAGGGTAGTGAACATCCCGTTCCACTCAAATGAACGTTAGCGATACAATCTCTCAGCAGTTCCCTCTTTTGCACATTGGTAGAGAAAACTAGGAACAAATGTTAACTATAGGCTGTGAGGACAATTAATTGAACACTAAGTAATGAGCTAAGGATCAGAATGTAACAGGCTAAGGCTAAAAATTCACTTCTGTCTAGCATCCCCCACCTATCCCCCCCACTGTTCTTTGCAAAGTGCTCCCATGGAGTGAATGCCCTGCAAAGTAGCTTCACTTAAAAGGTGAAATACTTTCAGCTTGACATCATCTACAAATACCATAATATGCTTTGGGTTTATAACCTAATATTTTCCTGGTTGTGAGCCAGTATCTGGGAATCGTGAAATACTTTTTTTCCCCTGACTATATATTAGAGGAATGATAAGGAATCAGAACAGAGCTAAACGCATATTTGTCTTTCCTTCTTAGTGCCTCGAAAGAATGCTTTACAAAGAAGAAACATCTTTATCACTCACCTAGATGCATCAAGGCTTCCTTGTCCCAGGGCCAAGTTGCCACTCCAGCCAGCTCCTCCTCAGAGGAATTGGCAAAGAAGATGTTGAGGTGTGTGGATCCATCCAGTTTGAGTATGTTCTTCAGTTCATTGACATCTAAGTATGCTCTGTAGGAAAAGAAAGGCATTTGTTTTTCTAAAGGTGACACAAAAAGCAACAAAGTATTGAAGAAGTGCTGCAATCCAGGCAAAGATCTTATAATATCCTGCGTATCAGTCACCTGAAGTACTTCAATAACCCATTCCCAAACTTCAATTACTTTGCATTCATATAGTGAACCTCATCTAAGGACTTCAGGCCATTGATTAACTATGGCCACAAAATCCAAGGTAAATACATAAACCTGTCCACATTGCTAAGATAAGTACAGGAATCTATTTATTATGAATGTAATTAACCATGTATTATGGTCAGTAAATCTTTTTATATCTCAGCAGTTACCTTGCACATTACCTCTAAGCTGTTTATTACTTTTACCTCTAATTTTCCTTCACCGTAACAACTTTCACATCTGGCGCAACAACTGACACCGGCTCTTGAAGTTACTCCTTCAGCACCAGTGGCAGTCACTTCGGCGGAGTTGCATGTGGTCTAACCCCGACAGATGATGGCTGTTTGGGACTTGTTATTTCCAGCAAGCAAAGTTGTGCCAAAAGATCTCGCAAGAGATCTCCATAGGAGTGGCACCATACCATGACATAAATTCCTAAGGCTCCTTAAGGTGAGCAGCATTTCTTCTTAGACTTTGGGATGTCTGGAGGCTACAGATCAATCTGCTGGCAGGCAGGCAAAATCAATCCCTGAAGCTTGATGACCACTGGAGGTAGCACTCCTTTGAAGGAGTAGACTGTCAACACTGGAATGCAGGAGAAGCTACTTGCCAAAGCATGTAACATGGTGCTTTCAGTGGCACCGTGATGTTCTAACTCAGCGTAAAGCTGGAGAACGTGAAACATAAGAGTAAAATCATTGCTTCTCCGTCTCCAGCTCACCTTGTCTGTTTATATTAGGTGACGTGCTAACACAGAACCTACAAGGATGAGTTGTACTATCTTCACTGGATAGGTGGAAACAACAGAAAGAGAGACCACACTGAGTCAAGCATGGCTGACGAACTTGTAAAGAAAGGACACCATGATGGTCTTCAGCAGGTTGATTCCTGCTTCCTGAAGTCTCTCTTCCCATATGTATATGGTGTGTATAGGGCTCATGTAGCTCTCACAAACCAAACGCACTCACATTCAGCGCGTAGGGTTCCTTGCATACTTTGCAAGGCTATCGTTCCCAGAAGGGTGAAGAAAAAATAAGGGAGTTGGCTCAGTACCAAGATCTTTCTGTCCTTCCCTGGAGGACTCCCCAATGGAAAACACATTCATATTTCCACAATAGCTTCCCCTGCCACTTGCTGAAGTCATTGCCTCAAAAATAGTACATGGCTGGGTGTCCCCAGGCCCTCGCTGACTCACGGAGGAAGACGTGCTCTTTGGGGACACCAGTGGAAGGGTATGTTTCCATTCCATACAGTGTTTATCTTCCAATCAAATGTGGATGACATCCTGAAGGACAGGTCAGCACTGTGACCCTTTACACATTTCTCATCTCTCCACTGTTCCCAACACATCTATGGAAAATACACAGAACTTTCCCTTAGCTCCTCAAGCTTGCTCTGCATGTGTCTGCAAGATGCTCCGAGGTTGTGCGTAACCTATTTCCAGGATCTTCTTTGTGCTTTGAAAACATCTTTTCCAAACACAGGGTCATTCTTATACACGTCCAGCAGCAATAGTTTGAAATTACGTATGAGAGCTAACATGGATTTCCAGATGAAAGCATAAGCACATCGGGGGAATATGTGATGGAGGATGTGTGCATGTGAAGGGGTGGTGTGTGTCTGCATGTATGGCATCATTGGTAAAAGACAGTGAGCAAAAGTGTAAGAGAGAACGTGGGAGTGATGTGAGAGAGAAAAGGACAGAAACAGAAGCACTGTGTGTCTCTGAGTAGGAAAACGTTTGTGTGTTTTGTGTCACAGTGGGAAGGAAAGGCCCACCGTCTGTATTGAGACTGTGGCTGTTGACTCTGGATGCAAATACTTTCTGCCCTATACAAATCCCTGCAGGAGTGACTATAATCACACTCCCCTCCTGAGATTACCATTTTTGTCCTCCTGCTTCTCTTATGGTTTCAAATAATCTAAACTAATATTTCTTTATTCTCAGCTGTTTCTTTGCTCATTGTTTACACAACCCAATGCCCATTTATATGCTCAGTGCATGGCCACAGTCGTGCTCTCACTTGCATACAGGCTATGTGCTTCAACATCTAGGGAGGTTTTGTGCGTGGATTATTACTGCAGACAACATCCAGAGCAGACAGCATTTAACTAATTGGCCAGTGATGTCAGTGCATCACTGAGACTGAACTCCTGTCTTACGTAAATCCACCGTACTAAGTCAATTGGACTTGGGTTTATAGCGTGTCTCTGCCCACTAATGCTCTGCTAGACAACGAAAGTCTGCAAACGAGCAGAATATATTCAGATGGTGTAAGAAGAGAATGCTAAGAGGATTTTTAGCAAAGGGTCTGCAGAGGAGTTGGTATAAACAGGTCACGCTTGGGAAGAAGTTAATGCACACCCCTTTGTAAAAGCAGTAAGCAACCCCCAACACATAAACATGCTCAAGCATTTAGCTCAGGCTTGTAAGCGTGTGAACATGTGCCTGCATGTGCGTGCGTGAACAGAGGTGTGAGTGTGTAAGCAAGGGTTTGGATTGTGCACACATGCAAGACAGCCAAGAGTATGTACGCAAAGGAACCAGCCTGTATGTGTAAGAGATAAAAACACAAGCTGGAATTCCATCCTCTCCTTCCTCCCCATGTTTCTAATAACCTCCCATCCCTATCCATCATCACCACATTCCTACACTCAAGGAGGCATAAATTAACTACTTTTGCAGTTCATGTCCAACTACGTAGCCGCAGGCAGCAGACCCAACAGTTACCAGGTCAAAATAGTTTTCAGTTATTGCGTTGGACTAGGCTGACTCCCCCCTGCTGCCGCGGCTGCTTTGTTATCAGCCCAGATTATCTGACCCAACGCAATCTGCGAGCGCTGCTTACACTTCTCAAGGTTATGTGGGTCCCCTGATAGAGGACATAATGTCTGTCACATGGGCTCGTGCCAAAGAGAGCCAAAGAGCCCAGCCTTTCCAGCACTGCCAAACTAACATTTCAAAGACGTGAGTGCAGTCTTGGAAAGGGATCAAAGCCTTTCCAACTGTCATTAGAATATTTCCTTTATGCATCTCTCCATGAGTGCCAGCAACATATTTCATAAAATTCATTGGCTCGAGATGGTACCTCCAATATAAACCTGAATGGGGGAACTGTCAGGGCAAGTCTATGTGGAAAACAAAACAAAACCCAACGCACAACAAAACACATGTAATTCCTGTAATGGAAAAAACATACGATGCTGTGAGCATGCCTTGCTCGGGAAAGCCTAATGAGCCTATTAGTGCATCATAAAAGGCCTCCTTTGCTGGAATCTGTTTTAGACATAGAAATTCTATGGGCTGTTTAAGGCCATTTGGGACACCAAATCATATCAGGCAATGTGCACATTCCCACCCAGATCTTTTCATCGACTTATTTGTCCAATGCACAGCTTTGGTTTGCTTTCTTCCCTTCACTGCAGTGTAAATAGCCCTCTGAAACCGTACCGCGCGGCAGCTCGCTCTTATCCAGTAAGCCTCAGACCTCAGTCAGGAATATGTATCCCGTACAGTGCTCCAGTTTCAGTCTAATGGAGTCGTTAGCTCATCATGCAGTGTCTTGCGACCACCCCGCCCGCCACACAGCCTGCCCCATCAGTCACACGAGCCATTATCCCTGCGCCTGTCTCATCTGTCAAACCCATTTCCTGTCCGCTGGGCTGTGGCTTTGCCGCAGCAGGACTTGTCCCTGGGCAGGGAGGTGCAGTCACCAGCCTGTAGCCCACCTGCCCTTGGGGGCCACTGCGAGGAGCTCCCTTCTGCTGGCCTGCAGCTCCATAGTCAAATCCAGCCACAAATCTCTGCCACTTAACTACAAACACATTTGACAATGGCTTTTAAACTCAGTTGCTATCAGGTCTAAGCATCTTGAATCCGGCCTTAGTGGCTAGAGACAAGCATTGTTGTTCCAAGTGGGTTGGAAACTCTTCCTCCCCCATTTTCTTCCAGGTCAGACCATGGCTTTCCCATGTTTCCCTAAAGTGGCTGGGGTGCAGCCTCTTGTACTCGTGATTGTTTTTGCAAGGAACACAGAGCTTCCCAGCCCTTATTGTTAGGAAATGTTTTCTACTGTTTGCTCTGAGTTATTCTCTATTTGACTTTGGTTTGGTTTGTTTTCCTTCAAAGACAAGTGTCCTTTACAGCAAGAAAACAAACAGGGTACTTAAGAGACTATTTGCCAGACTCTATGCAAACACAGAGTAGGAACTTTGCTATCCTCTCACTATGGGAATATGGTCTCCAACTGCCTGATGAGTTTGTTAGGAATAAAAGGCATTGCATTCTGTCACAAAAAATAATAAATTTAAAAAAGAAAACACTAGCATCTTCAGAATTGGGAACTCAGCCTCAAAAAGTCTCCATTTTATCTCCCGACATGCAATGTCCTATCCTTTACCTAGTGGGCTCAGCATATGGCATGACAGAGTAAACCTGCCGGAATCATAGGGACCCCAGTCCCTCACTCTCCTTCCCAAGACTCCTTGTCTCTGTTTCATTTGGTGCTCTCAAAAGAGCTGTCAGCCCAGCCTAAACCACGGACTGTGACTTAGCAGACAAAGAGAAAGCTTTTGTAGACAGCCCTGGCAATACTCATGGGCAGCCTGTGACAGATCCAGGTGTGGGTGCCAATGTGGCACGGCTGATACATCTCAGCGGTGTTACCTGGGTCCCTCCAGCTCTGATCACGCTCCCAGGATTGACACTATCTCCTTAGAGCAGCAAAGAACACAGCAGTCGGTCACTCACTCTCTGTCCCCCCAAGCAACATGGGGGTCCAAGGTTTTAGGGTGCAGTGCCCACCTAGAGATTTTCACTGTCTGCAGTGAACAGCA